TTTTGATAACATAAGAAAACTAAATAATGCTCTCCTTCACTCTTCCTGAAGATGCCAGATGGTTAATGTAGTTTAATAATAGAACATGCAATATAGGCAATAGTTCTCTGGTGCTCTGCCCTGGGAAGCATTTGCAATGCTTAGGTTGTGGGTGCCCCTCTGGCTAATGAGAGAGGAACCAGATGGAAGGAAAGCTATATAAAGAACAGCTGATGTGTTGCTTAGTGACCAGCCAGAGAGGTTGGACGGAAGTAGAAAACTGACAGTGCAATGGCAAGCAGAAATACCTAAATGACACCCAGGATTTGGAGGCAGATTTATTTACATCAGTGGGCACTGATAGGGATCATTCCCAAAATATCAGGCCCTGATCTCTGGTGGTCTAGGGTTTATATGGGATAAGCAAGCAGGAAGTACAGAGGCAGAATGGCTTGTCCATTGGGGATTGGTTTTTGTAATATGCATCATAGTGACCAGCGATGCACTGGAGTGAAAAGCCATGCATTACAGTGACCAGCCGTTTCTAGGAGACGGAATCATCTGGAATTGCAACAGGAACTATTACTTGGGCAACTAAGAAAGTGAAGTATCCTGGCTGAGGGGGCATGTCCTGTTACATTTCCCCCCTTTTTTAATTTCCCTGATAAATCTTGGCTGGGCATATTACATGTGATTTTTTTTGAGATAAGGCCCAACTAAAAACAGTAACATTAGGGTTGTTGATGGTAATGTTTTATTACAAAGCTTTTGCTTAAGTTGCTTTTAGGAAGAGACAACGTTAGGCCTGTTTGTTTTATAGCATTACTCTGTCAAGATAGTGGTGGAGTTAATCTGATCTAAGAGAATGTCCAGTGTGTGTTAGATGCTCATCAAATCTTGGCTAAGTGTTTGACTGATTTATTTTCTTGGAGCAACTGGTCATAGAGTTAAGGCAAAAAAACCCACAGCTAATAGGGGGTGTGGAAACAAGGACTGGGGTAAGAAGAAAAGACACAAAAATTAAGGGAAATGTGTGTAGAGCAATCCTGTGAATGATGTTCTCAGGCTTCAGCTGTACGTAGACTAGTAAGCACCCGAAGTGACCAGAGCAGGGCTTTGAGTGTGTCATCTCTTTAAAGTGAGCTGTCTGGTCCAGGTAAATTCTTCACAACTCTGGAGTGGCAGCTGTAAAGCTGGATTTCTGGAACTCATAGAGGTAGTTAATATGCACCTAGGTTATATGTGTATGAAGAAGTGCCTACAGGTATAGCTGGTCTTTTAGCTAGATTTTTATGGAGATTGTTAAGAGCTGTTAACTTGTATAATTTTTTACAGCAGGACCCTACAAACTTCGTTATAGGGAATATCTTGGGTCCATCTCAGTAGATGTAGATGACCACTAACAGATATTTGTAACCCTTGTAAGGCTTTACTTTTGTGAAATCTATTGTATATCTTTAAATGGAGAGAGTCCATTATGTTGTATGAAGTGAGGGCCAGTGGCACAGACACTGAAGTCTGAGCTGGTTGCAGGCATATGGGTACCAGTGCTGTGGCTTGAGCTTGCAGAACAAATGGTGGGTGCAGGTCTGGCTCTGATCTTTTGGGAGTACCAGGTAAAATTTTTCTGGCTAGGGTTGATGTTTCAGTCAATTGGATCCCTGAAGGCGGGGCTTAGGTCTCTGCACCAAACTACTTTGTGTTGGTAGGAGGTTTCCAAACAGCAGCAGGAAGCAGTAGCATGAGAGGTTTGGCCAAAATAGCTTTGTCCAAGGTGACCACAGCATTACAGCATGTGGCACCTGGACAGCTAGGTTTTGGCCTAAGGTAAGCTTGTCAGTTTTCTTGAGCAAAAGAACAGTGGCTATTAGAGCATGGAAGCAAAGTGGGGGAGGCAGCCCTTAGTGACTGCATCTAAACAGTTGCACAGGTAGGCCATTGGGCACTCCTAGGGGCTGACAGTCTGAGTAAATATCACTGCTTTTTGTGAACTCAAGGATTTAGATTTTATACAGCTAGAAGTCACAAGAAATTTATGGAGTTGCTTTCTTTTAATCAGTTTTTGCCAGATATCACAGCAGAGCTTTTGTGTCTTTTCAGCAGGCAGCTTGGGTGTCATTAATCAGAAGTGCAGTGAAACTAGCAAGGTCAGCTGTGCGGGCTTTTCCAAAGAGCGTAAACAAGTTTCTGAACCTCTGAAAGGTTGAGTCCAAGTCAGTTAACCTTTGAGTTCAAAACTGGGGGATCTTTATGAAAAGGGGCTGGCTGAAGGAGCCAATGGGAAGCAGAAGAAGTCATTCTTTAGGTACAGGTAGGTGTACCAGCAGGCTGTGGGTGGCAGAAGACTGAGGCAACATATATGGAGGGCAATTGCAGTGGCATGGGCAGCTCAGAGATCTTGAACTGGCCTTACAGACAGGAGATGTGTACCTTAGCAGTTTGACAGCCTATAGACATTTTGCAGTTTTGAAGCTTCATTTTTTTTTCTTTCTTGCAACTTCAGGATTGTGGTTATCTGTCTCAGGCTAATGCAGGTGTCATCTTCCTCTTAGGGAACAGTCAGGGTTAAACCATGATGGAGCTCGAAGAGACAGAGAAACAGGCTGTTCTGGAGCCAACTCTGTTGCTAGGGCCTCCCTGAAAATAGTGGGAGAGTTCCCAAACCCAAATGGCAATTGAGTAACAGTCCAAAAAGGATGTATGGGTTGGGAACTGCAGAATGAAAGGGAGTGGCTGTGTTGATGGCACAGAGGTCTCGCCCAAAGATTAACAGTCTATCAGGCTGATGTGTGGATGAATGACTGTTCGTGCTTCTCATGATACCTGATAGTGATGGGGTCATAGTGAGGTGGCATGATGATGGCCAGGCCCAGAGGATAGTCTGTAGTTCATACCTCTGGGAAGAGAATCTTCAGAACTTCAGGACTGTGGTTATCTCTCTCAGGCTGATGCAGGTGTCATCTTCCTCTCAGGGAACAGTCAGGGTTAAATGAGAGGGAGGCTGACTGGCTTGGTGCAAAGGAGATGGTTGCTTCTTACTTGAAGTGGAGGTCTTTTCCAAGAAGCAGTATGAGGACTGGCTTATACAGGAATTCATGTTTGGTGAGATGTCCTCCCAGGCTGAAAATTTATGCCTGGCAGAAGGGACAAGAGCCAAGAGTCCTAGTCACCCTAATAATTGTACTATGGGCTCCTGGTAGCCCAGCTGAAGAAGGGAGCCTGATCTGGCCTAGTCTGAGTCCATCAAACTGATGAAAGGGTTGTCATCTGATGCAGGTTAAAGCTTTTGAAAGTTCTTATCTTATAATCTGAGTGGGTATTTTCTTTTTAGTGTCCATAGTCCTTATGTAAGGCTTCTGAGTAATAGCAGTAACTTTTGACATATTGTTGGGCTTTTTGCCCCTCTTTTTTATGTCTTTGAAAAGCACTGGACTAGATTATTTCTAGGGAAGGTGACCTTTGGAAAGGCCATGGGAACTCATTTGTCAGGGCTGACAGTCCAATTTTTCCTCAGTAAGAATATGGAACTTAGAAGGAATTGCTGACAGTCATCTCAGGTGGGTGCTAGATGACACCATCTGACCAGGATAGGAAGCAGAAGGCTCTGGAGGGAGAGTCTCTGTGGTTGAATACAGGCAATAGCTAGCTGGAACCAGTTCAACTGACTGGAAGTAGACTGGTTGGAAGCAGGGAGCAAAGCTATAGATGTTGACAGCAACTGCAGCAGCCAATGAAAGTGCCAAGGCAAAATTCATTCAGATGACTGCCTGGCCATGCCTTTCTTGGGGACTCAGGCACAACTTAGCTAAGGAAGGTGCAAAGCCTCTGTTACACTATATTTCGATTGCCATGGAACTGCAGGTGAGGGTTCAATCAGCCACTGTGACAAGTGCTTCCCAGTCTTGATGCACAGACAGAGAAGCCTATTGCTTATGCTGTCTGTTCCATTCATACATTCATTCAGCAGGTTCTTAAACATTCCAACCCTCTTCCCTTGAGGTTGGTCCTAACGAGAGTTGATCAGACTTGCTTTCTGCTCAAGCTGAGCTGGATAGACTAACTGGGGTGCCCACAGGAGTCTTACCAGAGTCAGGTAGACAGACAGACAGACAGACAGACAGACAGACTGAGTCTTCCTCCCTTTGTGGTTTGATGTGAACTGCTTTAGCAGACAGCCAGAAATCCTCCTCCAGACCTCCAAGGGGATTCAAGAAACCTCAAGGGCACGCCTTCCCATCAACATGTGGAGAGGTCCTTGATCCATCTGTGAGTGGCCAGTCTTCCTGGCTGACACACAAGATGCAACGACAAACAGAAATACTGAAATGACACCCAAGATTTGGAGGCAGATTTATTTCACATGGACAGGCACTGATTGGGATCATTCCCAAAATATCAGACCCATTCCCAAAATATCAGGCCCTGATCTGTGGAGGTCTAGGGCTTATATGGGATAAGAAAGAGGTACAGAGGCAGAATGGCTTGTCAATTGGGGATTGGTTTTTATACACCATAGTGACCAGCTATGCATTACAGTGACCAGCCATTTCTAGGAGACAGAATCAACTAGAACTGCAACAGGAACTATTATCTGGACAACTAAGAAACTGAGTTATACTGGCTGGGGGGCATTTGCTGTTACAATATCTTTGTAAATATTGGAAGCACTCTTATGTAAGAGAATTTAGAGGAAGTCTGTGAAACATCAGAGTGAAGAATTTCTAAAAATAGAAAGGCAGTAGAGAGTTCATAGGAAGAAATAAAACTTTCTAATGATTTTATCTCTTCATAAAAGGAATAGGCAGTCCTATGAGGCAATGAGATCCCCATACCTGGGAGTGTTTAACCACAGTGGTATTGAAAAAGAGAGGCTGGGGAAGGGGATTGGGTTGGATGACCCTAAAGACCATCATCATGCTCTGGGAAATGATCAGTTAAATCACTTCATTTTCTCAACCTGAATGCAATTCTGCTCATAGGTGTTTTTGTTTACTTTATTTTGTGTTTTTCTCCCCATATAGAGATCATTGGTTCAACAAATCTTATAATTCTCCTAGAGAATGAAATCTTTGCTGATTTTTTCAACACATTTCTTTCTCTTCCGGTAAGCATTCTCAAATTTAAATCCAAATGCTTTATTAACAACAGAGTAATGATTCTCACTGGGCTCAGGGCCCTTTTCTGGTTTTTTTATGTTTGTGTTTTCTTTTTTACTAAATTCCTTTTTGAACAAAAAAATTGTGTTAATTTGGGTAAATAGATATGAATCAGAACCACCTCTAAAATCTCCAGGATCTTCCTATTGTTAATACAGTTAAACCCTAACTCCCTACCTTCATTAGATGCTTCTGCCTGTCCACCAGTTATTTCCTGTTACACTGTCTGTTGACACCCAGTGCTGTGGTGACGGCAACTCCACCGTCACTGATACACCTGCCATTCTGCCACCTGCCTCTCGAACAGCTCTTCAGGCTTTCTATTTTCTGTCTGGATTGCCTTCCCCATAATTCCACCTGCCAGTCTTAATCATTCTTTAAATATTTGCTCAAAATTCTTTTGTTCTTAAGGAATTCTTAGTTGTTCACAATTGAAACCTTCTAATTGGAACCTCTTACCTCTGTGCCTCTTGGCATTTCTCTCTCTCTCTCTCTCTCTCTCTCTCTCTCTCTTTCTCTCTCTCTCTCTCATGTGTGTCTCACTGGATTGTGAAATTGCAAATTCTTGTGGAACAAGGGATTAGATTATTTATTTTGTTCTCCTTCTTTTACCAGGTGTTAGCACATAGCAGTTATTAAGCTGTTAACTGGAACAAAATCTATGCACATATTAAGGCTACCACCCCTTTCCTTGAGGAACTCCTGGTCTAATGTGAAAGACTAATGCTTAATGGGTAGCATGATGGAAGTTTTTAGGAGGCAATGATAGTGCAGTACTCTGGGGAAGAGGTCATTCCTTCTGGGAAGAGTCAGAAGAAGCTGACACAAGCCAAATCTTAAAAGAGTAGAAGATATGAGAGAACTATCTAAGCAGGAAGTGTGCAGGGAAGAATGGGTAAAAACAAGTAGAAGGAAATGATGAGTTTGAATACAAGAAAAGCAAACCCTTATATACACACAGGTTAGAGAAAGTAAAGTGCTGCCAGCCCACAGGATTTTTTTTTATGTTAAAGAAAAAAAACTATAAACAACGATACAAAATTTCAAAACAAGATAATAGGAGAGAAATAAGAGTTAATACACTTATTGTTATCTTCAAACTCTTTGCTCAGATTACAAGATATAGACATGAAAATTGATCAAACAATATCAGCACAAACCTTTCTTTTCAGTGAACTGATAGCAGTCAGTAGTGTAGCTAGCTTAGACATATATATTTCCTTTAGTTTTCCTTTCCCCTTCCTTCTTTCCTCCTTTTCTTCCAGTTTCTCTTCTTTCCTTTTGAACAGTTTCTCCCAATTTCCCAATATCTATTGTATATTTTGGATCTTATTTACTCTTTCAACTTCTTATACTAGGGAGGCAATATGATATTTACACATGCGAGTTTGATTTATTTCCCTTATGAGCAGGGTCTCAAATTGCATCCACTTACCTATAAAAGTCTCAAGTTTATCCTTCTTTATAGCTGAGTAGTACCCCATTGTATAAAAATCCCACATCTTTTTATCCATTCCTTGGTTGATGAGCATTTGGGTGGTTTCCAAGATTTAGCTATTACAAATTATGCTGCTATAAACATGGGTGCACATATATTGCTATGGTATGATGTCTTTAACTTTTCTGGAAATTTAAAACAGCTGGGTTAAATAGGACCTCTAATTCTAGGGGTTTTTTATTTTAATCCTAGCTTTTTGAGGAATCTCCACACTGATTTCCACAGTGGTTGCATCAACCTACATTCACACCAACAGTGGTGAAAAGTTTCTTTTTCCCCACAGCCTCTCTAGCATTTGTTATTATTTGGTTTCTTCATGACAGCCAGTCATTCTGGAATGAGATGGCATCTCATTGTTGTTTTATTTGCATTTCTCAAATGACCAATGATGTTGAACATTTTTCATGTATTTATTTGGTATCTGTATTTCTTCATCTGAGAAGTGCATATTCATCTCAGATGCCTATTTTTGGACTGGGTCTTTAAATTTGGGGGTCTGATTAGTTTCAGTTCTTTATATGTTCAAGATATAGGTTCTGTGTCTGCAGTACTGGCTAACAGGATTTTTTTTGTTTGTTTTGTTTTTGTTATTTTCCTGTACCGGGAATCGAACCTCGCACTTGCCAGGCAGGCGCTGTGCTGCTGAGCTAAATCCCCAGCCCAAAACAGGATTTTTAAAAGAAAGAAAAATTAGCTATCAACTTTTGATCTTCTTAAATCCTCCACATGTAATTTGTACCCAATTCATTATTTTCAGTCCTTGGTACTTTCAAAGTTGTGTAAACCCTAAGAAATTTCTTATTAGGAAAAAGTTTTAGACTTTTGTTTTAATTCTCTCAGTCCATTGGGAAAGTGAATAAAGCAATTCACAAAGTAACTACATTATAATATCAATAATTTTGTCCTTTGCACACAAGATAACTCCCAGGTGTAGGCAGAGTGGAGCCAAAATTTAAGTGAATCTTGTAATTCAGTCTATTTGGAATAATTCTGTACAGGGAAAATCGATTTGGTGGAATAAATTTTTATTACAGAAATGTTTACATGCATAATGGTTACACTGATGGAATAAATTTGGGAATGTCCCTTGAAACAGAAAAGTAGTGGAACTTTTCTTGTTGGCTGCAGGTGTACTATAATAAGTGCACGAAGAGCAACTCTTCTTCCTTGGCTGTTTTCTTTTGCAGGTCTTTGGTCAGACACCATGCTATACTGTTGAAAACTCACAGTGGAGCTTGTGGCCAGAAATACCTTATAACTTGGTGAGTAGGATTCTTGAATGACGGGTGGCTTGAGGAGGAGAAAGAGGGAGTTAAATTTGAGGCATGAACTGAGAAAGGGAAAAGAAAACCGAGCCCAAAGAAACTACAGGAAAGAAACTATAAAGCAGTTGAGTAGAACAACAGCATAAACTAGGTAGGCATTTTTTTACATTTTTACCTTGGGCAAAAAATTGTTGTTGAATTATTTCCTTTAAATCTAGCCGTAGTTAGCACAGGGAATTCATTCCTGATGTCTACGGTGATTACTGGATAGTAGATATGTACTTGGGGTACATTGCTGAGAAGAAATGTGAGACCCATCTAACCAGGAAAGTCTGAAATCTGATTTACAGTGCATGCCATGGGTGTAAGATAGCAAATGGTAGCACAGGGGCCACATAGTTATGATCAGATACGTACTATCAAACATAGGTCAAGGTAAGATGCCACTCTTCAATTTTTGATGATGAGTTTACCATTCTCTTCCAGAGGCATGTATTTCTTTTAATCTCTTTTTATATGTTTCTTTTCCTTTTGTTTGTTGATTGTCTTTTTTTCTCCTTTTTGCCCCTTTGCTGTTTGTCTTAGCGTTTTCATTGCTGAGACAAATTACCAGACACCCAAAGTTAAACCAGGAAAGGTTCATTTTAGCTTACAGTTTGTAGAAGTTTCAGTCCATAGTCAGCTGGCTCCAAGGCGGGGTAGTGGAGCAGAGGGACATTGCAGAGGACAAATAGTTCATGGTGGGCAGAAGGTAGCAAGTGGCAAAGCAGCGTGACCCTGCCCTTTTTTTTTTTTTTTTTTTTTTTTGGTCTTTTTTGAGACAGGGTCTCACTATGCAGTTCAGGCTGGCCTTGAGCTCATTTTGTAGCCAAGGATGATCTTGAATTCACAATGATCCTCCTGCCTCAGCCTCCCAAGTGCTGGGATTACAGGCATATGCCACCATACCCGGCAAACTGCCCTTCCCTTTTATCCCATCAGGCTATCTACATTTTGGGTGGTGCCACCCAGAACTATGCTAATTCTAGTCAGTGGACTAATATAGTGCCACACACACTTAATCCCAATACCATACATCCACGATCCAACCAGCTTTGAAAAGCTCCACATATGACTGTATAAGGCTTTAGGGGGACATCTAGACACAAGCCATAACACTGTTCTCACTTTTCCACTTGGTAGACCTTAGACCTGCCTATGGCTTCCATGTGCCCTTCCACTGGTATGTGATCACTCTATGCCATGATTACAATAAGATTTCATTTTTCTCTGAGTCCTAGGGAGCTAACAAAAGATACAAAAGATACCCTATTTTTTACGTCTGATTTCCCTAAGGTAGCTCTGAAACGTCATGTTTTTAGTTTTTTTTTTTCTCCTTTCTCTTATGGCTTGGTTTCTCTGGGGTCCAACTTATTCTCTAAATAATAGTATGTGTCTTTTTCAGGTTGCACCATTGATATAGGTTGGGAGCTTGTGAAAATTTATGTGTATTTAAAAAGAAGCAAGTTGAATAAAGTTATGACCTGACACCACAGACCATAAACTTTTCTGTTTCTCTTCTGTTAGGCAAAACTTTAATCTTTTCTTAAACAAATTCACCCAGGAATAAGGAAGAATTTTCAAAAAAGACCAAGATTTTTTCTTCCTACCAGTCCATTTGCTTCATTGGGAGGCTTATTTAAAATCCCTACTCTCCTTAGATACTATTGTTAATCAACACACTTCTCCTTCCAGCCAGACAATACAAGTGTGAGATTATTTACTGCCATTACTAAATTGCATTTCTCAACAGTTCAGTTCAATCTATCTCTGTGGTTTTCTTTTTTTTTTTTTTGAACCCTAGATTTCCAAATACAAAGGATTGCTGACCTGGTTGGAAAAATATCGATTACCTTTCTTCTGTAAAACAAATTTGTGTTTCCATTACATCCTTTGTCAGGAACTCGTCAGCTTTGCTAGGTCTCCAGAAGGAGGTAAACGTGTGTGTGTGTGTGTGTGTGTGTGTGTGTGTAGAAAAATGGAAAACCATACTGCATAATGATCTTATCAGTACTACAGGAAGATACAGATAGTAGTTCCATTTGTAGATATATGAGTGGCTCAGCCCATGTTGCAGCAATTTTTCTGAGGATGGAAAATTGGTTCCTGACGCAATAATTAGGAATCAGGTGGTGTACACCATTTATCTCACTGGGGCCAGAAATTATAGAATTAAGTGTAGTCACAAGGCGTGGTAAAAGTTGCCTAATATATCCTGAGAATCAAGCACATTTTGCCACCTTCATTATTACCATTTGGCCTAAACTACCACTTCTTACCTGGGTGCTGAAATCTCTTAATTAGTTTCCTAGACTAATTAGACATTAGTCTCCTCTTGTTTTCCTGCTCACAGCAGCCAGAGAGAGCCTTTAAAACATAATTGGGATTGGGTCTTATTAAATTTAAAAGCTTCTACAGAGCAAAGGAAATGACTAACAGAGTGAAGAGATAGCCTACAGAATGGAGAAAAAATTTTGCCAGGTATTCCTCAGACAGAGGAGTAAAAGCTAGAATATATAAAGAGCTAAAAAAAATTGGACTCCCCAAATTAAAAAAAAATCAAAGAATGGGCAACTGGAAAGAAATACAAATGGCCAATAAATATATGAAAAAAATGTTCAATATCTTTGGCCACTAAAGAAATACAAATTAAAGCAACACTGACATTCAGTCTCACTCCAGAAAGAATGGCTGTCATCAAGAAATCAATAACAAAATAATAAATGCTGGCGAGGCCTCTGGGAAAAGGAAACCCTTCTATATTGTTGGTGGGAATGCAAGCTAGTACAACCACTATGAAAATCAATATGAAGAGTCCTCCAAAAACTAAAAGCAAAAATTCCATTTGACCTAGCTACTTCCATTCTAGATATCTCCCTGAAAGAGTTAAAGACATCATATTACAGTGATACAGACATACTCATGTTTATAGCAGCACAACCCACAACAGCTAAATCTTGAAAGCAGCCTATATATGCCAATCAACAAATGAATGGATAAAGAAAATGTGGTATTTATACACAGTGAAGTACTACTCTGTGAAAAAGGATAAACTTGAGTCATTTGTAGGAAAATGTACCCACTGTGAGGCCATAATGTTAAGCAAAATAAATCAGACACACATCTTAAATATTACATGGTTTCTCTTATATGACAAACCTAAAATAAATAAAGAGCAAAATAAAAGATAGATAGTAGGAAACAGGTGAACAGATCTTCTTCAAAAAGGAAAGAGACCAAGGGGAGAGGGGATGAAAAAATAATTAAGATGTGTTCTGCGCATGTAAGAATTCCTCATGAGGAATGTAATCATGATGTACTTCAAATGTGTACCAATAAAAATAAAACATTTTTAAACAGAACAAAACCAAAAAACATAATTGGGAGAGAGGGGAATTCTAGGAAGACAGTAGAATAGAAAGTGTCAGGAATTTGTTTCATACCTAGGTAGAAATTGCATTAGCAAAATCCTTATGATGTAACTGTTTTTGGAATTCTAGAGTCTCTTGAGGTTTTTAACTTTCTAGGAAGGTTTGGACAGTAGGTTATAGTTGTTTTGATCCAACTTCAGCTTTTTGCACAACTGTAGCTATCTATCCTCCAACCTCACCCCTAGTAGGCAACTGTCACAGTCCCAGACCCGGGAACATCTTGCACACAGCTTGTGGGAGCCAGAGTGATCAAAGAGGACCTTGTCCTCCAAATATCAGGGACCTGGGCTCTTAATTTCTAGTTGTTGTTTCTGATAACAGAGGCACAGACAGGAAGTAGGTGGCCATTTTTGTTGTAGCTCTCCATCGTTGTAAGGATGTAAAAGTCTGGGATCATTTCCCCTTTACTTTATACTTTTTCCCTTTTGAGAGAAACAGACTAAGAACTAGTGTAATCAAAAGCAACTACACATAGGGACAAACCTAGACTGTGACTATGCATACACAGGGAAAAGTACAAGCTGAGAAAAAAACCTGAGATAGACATAAATTTATGCCTCAGGCTGAGCCTTAGCACAGAGGCAGTAGACAACAATTAAAAAACTAATAAAATGAATAATAATAATCAGAAAATTCTGGGTAAGAGGGAGAATCTGATTTCCATAGTTACCCTATTATTAAATTCAAATATCCAGTTTTTAACAGAAAGTCACAAAACATATAAAGAAACAGGAAACTATGCTTGTTTAAGAAAAAAAAAACTGTCCCTGAAAAAGACCTGACAGCATATCTACCAGATAAAGATTTTAAAACAATTGTCTAAGATATTCCAAGAACTAAAAGACAACGGGGTTGAAGGGAGGGGAGGGGAATGGGAAAAAAAAGGCAAGATATACCATGTACAGGTACAAACTCCCTATGATGAATGTTATCATTACATATATCTAAAATGTACCAATAAAAAAGATGATGGGGAAAATTCAAGAATATTATATACAAATAAAATGGAAATATCAATGAGAAGATAGAAAACCTAAAAAGAAACCAGAAAAGAAAGTCTGAAGTTGAAAATTGTAACAGAAATTAAAATAGAAGGATTCAGAGGCAGTTTAGAGCAGCCAGAAGATAGGTCAGAGGGGATTATCAAGTCTGAGGAACAGAAGAAAAAAAGGTATTTAAAAATAATAGTGTCTAAGGAACCTGTGAGATATAGTCTAGCAAATCAGCATGCACATCGGTAGTGTTCTAGAAGGCAGAAGAGAGAAAAGGGCAGAGGCAATATTTGAGGAAATATTCTTGACTAAAAACTTCCAAATTTGACGAAAAACAGGAATCCAAATGCCCGAGAAGCTCAGTCATCTACAAGAAAGATGAACTCTGAGAGACTCCATAAGACACATTACAAACAAACCTTTCAAAGACAGGGAGAGAATATGGAAAGCAGTAAGAAAGAAGTAACTTGTCAATTACAAGGGAGTCCCATAATATTATCATCAAATTTGCAATTAGAAACTTCAGAGTCCAGAAGCCAGTGAGCTTAAATATTCACATTCCAAAAGGAAAAATACAATATCCAGAATTCTGTATCCAACAAAATTGCCCTTCAAAAGTGAGGTTGAAATGAAGATATTCCCAGATAAACAAAAGCAGAGGAGGATGACCTGCCAGGAGCCCCTGTAGGGTGAAATCAAAGGTCTCTAGATGGTAAACTGAGCCCATATGGAAAGGTAAAGATCTCAGTAAAGATAAATAAATGCTAGTATAATTATAACACGAGTTTGTAACTGGTATTCTATAAATGAAATGAGATGGATACATTTCTTAAATAAAATAATTATTAGTCTAAAAGCTAGTATTATTATAACTTTGGCCTGTAACTACATATCACATTTTGTTTCCTATAATTTAAAAGACTAATTTCTATTAACAGCCTAATGCATGCCACTAAATTATCAGTAAATATTTTGAGGGCACACAGTGTATACTTTGTTTAATTTTATATCATCAACAACCCAAAGGGAGGGAGATGGAACTATTAAAGGAGTACAGTTATTGCATGTTATTGAAGTCTGGTTGGTACAAATTCAAATTAGAATGTTATAAATTTAGGATGTTAAATCTAATCCCCACAGTAACTGTAAAAGAAGTAAAAAGATCACAAGAGTACTATCAACAGTTGTACACCCATAAACTGTATAACCTAGAAAAAAATGAATTAATTTCTAAGAACACAAAACCCACCAGTACCAAATCAAGAAGAAAAAGAAAATATGAATAAACTTATAAAGAATAGGGAGATTTAAACTGTAATCAAAAATTTTATGAAAAGGACCTGGACTTTATGCCTTCTCTGGTGAATTCTGCTAAACATTTAACAACAAACACAAATCCCTCTGTGACTTTTCTGAAATGCTGAAGAGCAGGAATACTTCCTAACTCATTCTATGAAGCCAGAATTACCCTGATATCAAAGCCATACAAAGGCACTATAACAAAAGCAAACAACAGCTTAGTATCTTTCATCAATATTGATGCAAAAAATTGCCACAAAATATTAGCAAATGGAATTTAGCAGCATATTAAAAAGATTGTACACATGATTAAATGGGAGTTATTCCTGGAATGCAAGAATGGTTTGATATATAAATATTGTTCAATTTAACACACCACACTTACAAAAAAAAAGGAAAAAGCCCACATGATTATCTCAGTAGATGCAGGAAGAGCATTTGACAAAATCCAACATACTTTTGTGATGAATGAATGCATTTATCAAAGTAGGAATAGAGGGAAAACACCTCAATGTAATAAAAGCCACATTTAAAAACTCATGGCCAACCTCATGCCCAGTGGTAAAATGCTGAAAGCTTTTCCTCTAAGGTTAGGCATAAAGCAAGAGTACCAACGTTCACCACTGCTATTGAATAGCAACAGATACATACACCACCACCACCACCACTGCCACCACCAATGGCTTCTACCTCAGCACAAAATACAACATCTCTCCACTAACCTGCAATGTTTTGGACCTGGATCCCCTTCATCTCCCTCTAGTCTCCCAACCTATTCCCATCTTTCCAGCCACATTGATTTCCTTGCAGTTGATCAGACACGCTGGACACTTTACACACAGATGCTTCACACCAGACATTTCCTCTACTTGAAATGTTTTTCCTCCATATATCTTCATTATTCCTTCTTTCTCCTCCTGAAATGTAAGTGCAGATATTATCTCCTCAATGAAAGCTACTATAATTATTCTATTTAATACTATATCCTCCCCATTCGTCCAATCTGTACCCCCAGCACTCACAATTTCCTTTACCAAGCTTTACTTTTTTATGTAGTGCTTATAACCTTCAATCTTACTGGATAATGTATTTATTTATTGTACTTATTACTTACTGTTTATCTGTCACAAGAATATAAGCTCCTTAGAGACAGAGATTTTTGTTCTGTTTGTTGATATATCCCAAGAACCTAGAACAGTACTTGGCACTTAGTAGGCATGTAATCAATATTTGTTGAAAGATGAATAAATAAAATTTCTATCTAGAGTTGAATTGGTAAGTTTTGTCTCATTAACCAAAGGAAACTAAGTATATTCTACCAGGGCAAAGCTAAGGTTCAGAAAGATGGAGTGAAATGTAATAGATCCTCCTAATATACTATTCTCAATGACCTCATCAATATATACATATATTGGTAAAACTGGATTAAAATGCACACTAAGGGCAAAATCACTGTCAGGTGGGGACTCCAGAGGGGAAGGTGCCTGGGGTTGGAGGGTGTTTTTGAGGTGCAGATATCACTGGATGGCTCAGCGCCAAAGTCCAAAAACACCACATAGTGAGGACCCGCTCATCTCACTGGCCAACATTTTCCCTCACTTATACTGAGCAAATGGAGATCTGGCTGTGTGCAAGGCTGAGAAAGGGCTGGGGGAAAGAGCTCATGCTCTCTCTGATCATGGACTTTTCCTGGCAGCCAAGATGATGAGATGGAAAAAGGCAGACGAATGGCTACTCGAGAAATGCATTGGCGGTGTCAGAGGGATGTGGCGCTTCTGTTCCTACCTCAAGGGCAGTGCAGGTGGGTTCTTGGAGTTCTTCTTGGGGCCTCTGCAAGTTTCTAGGTTCTGTGGAGCCCCATGACAGCTCAGTAACATTGTTTTCTTTGAGGACTGTCTCAGGTTTTGAGGCGGAAGCCCCGGGTCTTCTCCTTGCAGGTAAAGGAGAGTTGGACAGATGATGTCTTTTAGTTTGCCATTCAAAAATTTGGCCCTGGAACAATTGTACAACAGGGAATGTAGCCTTTGGCATCTTTTGGCTCCAGACCCCTGAGGACTCCTCAAGGTCTATGATTTTCTCCCTTCATCTTCATTTTTCTGAGCAAAGCTTACATATCTCATAATTTATACTCAGAGTCTTGCGTGTTCCCCTAAGTGACAGCTTTTCTAACAACTGAAACAACAACAAAAAAGGCACAAAAAGCCTTTATCCACTAAGCCTCTCATGCCTCCCTTCTCATCCTCCCCTACATTACAATTGTTCCAGAAATGATGTCTTAACCCAAAGGCTCGACTAACAATGATGTTTGACACAACAGGGCAGACTGGTGGGAGGTATGAGTAACTTCACACAGACACAACCACCAAGGGGGCAAGATAAGGGTGCAACTCTGTGCCTATCCTGTCTAATATATAGGTGAAGAATTGGTGGATTTCTGGGTCCTTGCTGAGAAGATCCTGAGCATAGATGAGATGGACCTGGAAGTAAGAAACTACTACCTGTCCCTCCTTCTCGTGCTGAAGGCCACCCATCTGCAGGAGGGCTCCAGGGTGGTAACTCTCTGCAACATGAACATCAGTAAGGATCATAGAGCATATATGAAGGAAATATATATAACCAAAAAGTCAATGTAGTATCCGATTAACTCCAATCTTTTGCTTTTCAGATTGCTGCCCACTCCATCTACTAGGTAATAGGGAAGCCAATGAGAATCCCAGTTCTTAACCAGAGAAAGGTTGTAAGAGACCAGATCTTTAGGCTGGTACTTGCCTCCTCCTGAGATATTACCTGCCAATGAAGATTGGCTGGAAGGGCTAAAGAGGAATTAAAGACAAGATAACTGAACATATCTGAACCTGCACTGCTTTATCATTACAAAACTGGGATTCTATAGTACAAATCACAGCCCAAGGGGCAAATGCAGTACATAAAGATTTTTTAAAAAAGAAAGCTATAAACAGAAATAATATGACTCACAACACCTAAGTTATTTATTTACACAAAATTTTGTTGGCCTCTCCTCTAGAACATTGCATTCATTCAAGTTTGTTTGCTAAATGAGGTGGCATTTCAAACCCATATTTGAATTTGTTCCAGAATATCTGCTTTGGGGATTAGACACATTCCTTTTTATTGATATGAATAATTGAGGAATGATAACTTAAAAATCTTGGCTGTTAAGGATTGACTTCTATGTGAAAGTTTTGACTCCTTCCAGTTGTTCAGTCCAAACCCCATCCCTTGGTCATTTGTAGCCCTGAAGAATCCTATTCCTGTGTATGTCTTTCTTGTTCTTAGTCACCTTTTCTTGTACTTTTTGCTTTCCTTTAAAGTAACATCCAATAGCCTGAAAAATATTCAAAGAATCCAATCAAATGCTTTCTTTCTATAAGGAAAGAGGATGATCAGAGAAAAGGATTAGTGTACACTAAACAAACCCTGAAACACTATCTCCATGTGCTTTACCTGTGCACTTCCCATAGCTATATGAAGAACTAGTGAAATAAATTACACACAGAGACATTTGGGGAGGTTTAAAAGTATGTCTCGTCATAATTGCAATCATCATATCATTTTGACTCTTCTCTCTTGTTTTTCCCAGAATCCCTTCTGAACCTCTCCATCTGGCATCCCAACCAGTCAACCACCAGGAGGGAGACTCTAAGCCACATGCAGAAAGTGGCTCTGTTCAAACTCCAGAGCTATTGGCTCCCCAACTTTTATACCCATGCCAAGATGGTCATGGCCACTGAGGATGCATGCCATGCTCTGATGCAAGAATATGAGACTCGCCTATGCAGTTTTTGCTATACCCACAATGCAGGGCTTCCTCTGAACATGAGTATCCAGCATTCCCTCCACTCTCAAAAGCAGTACTCAAGCAAGAAGGCCAAGAGGAAGATATGGCAACTGGCAGATCACACCTCTTGGTCTCTGGAATTGGACTTCATTCCAGGTAACTGTACCTCACAGGAGGCAAGTCCTCAGGAGAAGGTGGCTTCTTCAAAAGAGAGAATAACCAAGTCCCTGGAAAAGGATAGTCACTGTGTCAAGAAATCTCAAATGAAGAAGAAGTCTAAGAGCTACCTCCAAATGGAGGGCCTCTTTGAGGCAAAGTTCTCCACCCACCTGAGAACTTCCACCCCCATTATTAATCAGTCCTCGCAGATGATAATCAAGAAGGCTATCAAGCAAAGCTTCTCCCTGGTGTATACCCACTGGGCCTTGTGTGCTGATGCTTGTGCAGGGAGTCCCTTCCGGGACTACCTGAAGAAGCTGAATTTGAAAGTGGAGATCCAACTCTTGGACCTTTGGCAGGACCTACACCATTTCCTCAGTGTTCTGATGAATAACAGGAAGAATGGGAATGCACTCTTTCGTCACCTGCTGGGTGATAGAATCTGTGAGCTCTACTTGAATGAGAAGATTGGTCCACGTCTACCTCTCAAATGTCAAATCATTCAGGGCCTGAAAGAGATGTTGCCTTCAGGGAATGCAAACCCTTGGATTCCCAAAGCCCAGAAGGAAATCTGCAAGGTAGGCCACGCCTCAGAGAAATGCATTAGTATCTGGCAGATTTCGTAAAGACTGACTAAAAGTCTTGTCTGGCCATCTATACTTCTAAGATAATGGTATAATGATCCACATAAATCTTCACATATTGAAGTGCTAGTCTCTTGAGGCTCAAATTCTATAATTTCCCATGTACCAGCCTGAACTACAAAATAGAATGGAATGAGGAGAGATCAGTAGCCACCTTCTTCACTTCCTTTTATTTATTTAGTCTCCCCAAATCAAAAAACCCAGAATGTTTTATTGAGGGAAGTTTCAAGAACTTTGTTATAAGCATTATGAATTGAAAAGCGAGCCATCAGAAAAATGGCCATTTTCTAGCTATCAGAAAAATGGCCAGTAGCAAAGGATTTATTACTGTCTCAAAACATTAAATAAATGCAAGACAATAGCCTGAATATAAGAAGTAACGCCCACAAAGTAACTGTTGTGTTATAATAAGCTTGGCAGAAAACAAATGGCAGAGTTAAGGTGGATAACGAATGAGAGTCAAATAAAAGGTGCTATGTACAAAGAAAGGGATGGCACTGGGGGAATCACAAGAATAGTATAACACCTACCACAGAGCTACTAAAAGTGGGGCACGTTTTTCATTCCTAGGCCTGGAAAACTGAAAAGAGGAATCATTTACTAGAATCAGCAAGAAAGAACTGTATGGAGTGAGACACTGAGTAGGAAATATAACCACCAGGAGATATACCCAGCCCACAGTGATTTAGCTAGGAGGGCCCAGGGGAATAGATACTCCTGGTTCATTCTCCTTCTATTTTCCCATGCCTGCCAAGACACCTAATTTAATGAACCCACTCAAAGGACAAGAGAACCTTTTGATGTGCTCTATACAGGTTAATCTTCCAAGGCATAGCAAAGTAAAGCAAGGTAGACAGTAGATCATGAATACTGGCAGCAAATCATTTAGTTCATTTTCATGCATTTACCTTAGAAATAACATTCACACATACCATCTCATTTATCCTTAGAAACTCCAAAAGGCAGAGTTATGTTGCTGTCTTTGTTGTACAAATGAGGAAAATGAGACCAGAAAGAGTAAGTGAATTGTCTCAAAGGCACATAGTCAGTTAGTAGAGGTGCCAGGGTCAGAATCTAGGAGTTCTTTGTTCTAAGTCCTCAATGGTTTTCAAAGCATTGTAATTATCCAGGGACATACATCAGGTAGAGCTAGACCAGATCAATCCAGTGGATCCACAGCCATGACTTTTCTTTGCATAATTCTTGATGAATGAAAACCCAGAGATTTCCTTTTATGGAGGCGTTTGGATGTTTGCTAATGATTATAAAGAAGCAAGTACACATGACACCACCAATGGAGAGTAATAAAGTTCCAGCTACTGACTCTAAGGAAGTAGAGATCCACAGACTCCTTGGTCAACAAAGAACTTCAAAACAATCATCTTAAAGAAATGCAGTGAGTTACAGGAGAACAAAGACAAACAGCTAAATAACATCATGAAAACAATATATAAAGAAAATATAAAGTTCAATAAAGAAATAAAATCTTTAAAACAACCAAATAGAAATTCTAGAGATGAAAAATATAATTACTGAACTGGAAAAATTCAACAAACTTCAGTAGCAGGTTTGATCAAGAAGAAGAGTTAGTGAACTCAAAGATAAGACATTTAAAATTATCTGGTTGGCATAAGAAAGCCTACTGGCCTTATAGGACACTTGTCAAGTAGACCAATATATGCATTTATGGAAGTCTCAGAAGAAGAAAGAGAGAAAAGTATGGAAAGTGTATTTAAAGAAATAATGGTTGAAAACCTTATGAATCTAGGAAGAGAAATGCAAATTCATATCAAAAACCCTAAAACAGATTAACACCAAAGAGATTTACACCAAGACAAGCTATAATTAAATTGCCAAAAGTCAAAGATGAAGAAAGAACTTGGAAAGAGGCAAACATGACCTGTTACACTTAAACTTCATAAGCCTACCAGAGGACTTCTCAGCAGAAATCTTGCCAACCAGAAAGAGTAGGATGATATATTCACATACTAAAAGAAAAAATAAACTGTAACCAAGAATATTTTATCTGCAAAACTATCATTTATATTGAAGAAATGCCAAAAATTTTCTCAAACAGATAAAAACTGAGGGAGTTTGTCGTTGCTAGACTTGCCTTACAAGAAGTACTAAAGAGAATTCTTCATAATGAAATGAAAAGATGCTAAACAATACAAAAGCATATGAAAATATAAATCTCTCTACTAAACATAAACATTAAAACAATATTATAAAGTTGAAATAAAGGGACATAAATCCCTGTTAATATCAATGTATAAGCTAAAATTAGTAGGAATAACTACAATTACAAAAGCTAATTTGTAAAGCTAATTAGTGGAAGCACACTATAGAAGTCTTACATCAATAACATAAACCGTATGTGTTGGGAATAAAGTGTAGAGTCTTTATATGTGACTGATGCTAAGTTGTCATCAGTTTAAAACAGATTTACTCCTATATGATGTTCATTGTGAGCTCGTGGCAGCCACGATAATACGTACAGTAGAAACACAAAGGGAAAGAGAAAGAATTAAAGTACATCAAGAAATCAAATAGCAAAGGGAAAACAAAAGAGAGGAAGAAGAGAACTACAAAAAAGATGAAAAGCAACAAAATGGTAATAGCAAGTCTATAGATATAAATAATTAATTTACATGTAAATGTTCTGAACTCCTAAATCAAAAGATACAGAAAACATTAGTAGATTTAAGAAACAACGTGTGGGCTGGGGGTATAGTTCAGTGGCATCGCGCCTGCCTGGAAAACACAAGGTCCTGAGTTTGATTCCCAGTACCAAAAAAAAAAAAAAAGAAAGAAAGAAAGAAAGAAATGAAACTATGTACCACCTACAAGATTTTGTAGTTAAGGACACATAGGCTGAAAGTAAAGGGTTTAGGAAGATACTCCTAGAAAATCCTCATATTCTCTCTCTCTCTCTCTCTCTCTCTCTCTCTCTCTCTCTCTCTCTCTCTCTCTCTCTCTCCTTTGTGGTACTGGGGATTGAGCAACCGAAGGACCTTTACACTGAGCTATACCCTCTGCCTTCCCCTTTTTTGAGACAGGGTCTCAGTCACTGAGTTGCCAATAATAATTTTTTTTAAAAAAGCAGAGGTGCTATCTTTATGTACTTCAGACAAAATAGATTTTAAGTCACAAACTACCAAGAAATAAAGAAGATTTTAATAAAATACTTAAAAAGTCAATTCAAAGGGAAGGAATAAAATTATACATATGTATGTTCCCTAAATCAAATCACCTAAAGATATAAAGCAAACATTGATAATCTGAAGGGAAAAATAGAAAATAGTATAATAATAGTAGAAGTTTTCAATACTCTCCCTTGCTTGACCTCTTCCCACTGCCTGGAACATTTTTTTATTCCACTGCCCTCTGATAAGCTCCTACTTATCCTGCCAGGTTCACATTGTGGTTTAGATCTCTTTGCCTGTATGAATTCTTCCTGAATTTCCTTGACTTGCTCAGAAACAACTGTTCCCATTTTTCTGTTCCCAGAGAATTTTGTTCTTATGTCTGTCACAGCAGGTATCATAAAGTTGCTCGCCCTTCAGTAGACTTTTAGAGCTCTTTGTTATAAAAAGGCTTATAGCATGCTGAACTTTAAATCCCCAACAATTTGTACACTGCTGGCACATAGTAGTATTCAGAAAATGTTTGTCAAATAAATAAATAAATAAATGAAAGAAAATGAGAATATGAATAAATAAATGTAGCTAAGTACTAGCTCTTATTTGTTCTCCTGTAATGAAGTGTTATTCACAAGTATGTAAGGTCTTCCAGTGGGAGATTTGGGTGATACACGGAAAAGTGTTGCTTTATTTTCAGAGCTATTATGAGAATGAAATAAGACAGTACTTTGGAAAGGAACCAAGTAGTATGCAGAAGTTATGTAATTGTTCTGTAAGTTATTTTTGTATATATACATCTACTCTTTGAGATTTAGAGATAGTTATGTGAGTGGCTATCTTCAGAAAAATAGAAGAATCCTTACTGGTTGGTCATAGCTGATGCTTGTGGTTCCATTAGATACCCAATTTAGAGAACCCAGATCTTCAGCCTACTCTGCTCCAAGGTGGATGCAAGCTGAGACAGGCAGCAGGCTGAGCCCCCACCTTATGATGTTTATGTTGTGTTTGGATTGCAGATGCTCAGCTCCTGGTATAATAAGTTCCTGGATGAAGAGGACTACTGGTTTCTCATTTTTACAGTAGGAGAGACTTTGGGCTGGAGAGGGGTCAGAGACATTAGGGAAGAAGAGAGTACTGCTCTTTTAGAAGGCATGCTTACTGATATAAATGAAATCATGACATTTTTCCTGGAGGAAACTGGAGATCAACTTGGTCCCAATGTTCTCAACATAAATCTCTTAGGAAGAAGACTCAATGCATAAACTGACTTTGTAGAAATTCAACCTTAGAAAAAATGAATTTGCTTAGAAAAGTAGAGCAGGGGGTAGAGTTTGCAAAGGAGCAATGTCGCTTAACAATTTAGAAAACCAGCCTAAATCTATATGAAAGGGAGGTGTGGTGGGCTGAATTATTATGAAACTTATTTCTGATCGAATCCCTGCAGCAAATACTGTCTCTCCTCACACCTTTCTCTTAGACTCAGTCCCGGTTCATCAAAAGCCAGTGGCAGAAAGGAGAATCTTCAGACAAAAATGACAACCTTCTTATCTACAAGAGGATTCAGGAATCTCTGAAGTTAAGCCAGGCTTTGGCCAACATGGAGGAAATGGAATCTATCCAGTGGGAAAAGATAGCTACTGAAGACCTGAGACAGGGTGGTTCTCTCCAGGTAGAACTGACATCTCCAGTGTTCCTGGAAGGTAAGAGCAGTCACTCTAATTTTTTGACTCTTACACCAAGGCAACTAGGAAAAATATAAATCAACATTTAGGAATTATTTACTCTTTGTCAGCACTGTGCAACACAGAGATAACTTCATTTGATCTTCAAACCTTCAAACCTTAACCTATGAGGCAAGTACTTAGTAACTGAGGTGCAGAAAAAATAGGTCCTCCTCAGGGTCACACTGTAAGTGGCAAAGCCAGGATTTGAATCCAGCCACTGCAGCACGGAGTGGCTATCTTCAGAAAAATAGGAAGCCAGAGCACTCAAATTTGGGCAGACTCCTACCCACCGAAGCATTGCCACCGTTAACCATGAACACTTCACTTTGTGCCTCTGGTATTCCACTCACCACACCTCTTCCAGAATCTGGTCCAAGGGTGTTTCTGGGAAATATTTTTAACAGCCACTGTCTTTTCCTAACATAAAACCAGCCCACCCAGGAGTGGTGAGAATCAGTTAGGAGTACAAGGCTGTTTTGTCTCAGGGGGCTGGGGTTATATCCTACCCCTACTCTCAACTGTGTATACTTGAGCTTGTATACTTGGTTAAATAATACATTGAACCTCTGTTTAAACCCCAGCTTTCTCATCTGTAAAGTGGGAATAATAAGGTGTGGGGCTGGGGATTTAGCTCAGCGGCAAAGCACCTGCCTGGCAAGCGCAAGGTCATGAGTTCGGTTCCCAGTACCGGAGAAAAACCAAAAAAAAAAAAAAAAAAAAAGGTGTGTTGTAAAAGTAACCCAAGATCACCTATGAAAGCTTTCACCCCAATGTTTGTTAATAGTAAGAGTCCAATAAATGTTAACCATTATTATTTAAATTCAAATAAATTTTAGTATTTAATTATTTGTGCTAAGGCAGTTGGAGAACTGCAGTATTTAGTTTCAATCCACACTAAATACATTTGACCTCACGATTCCTTAAATTTGCCTCTGTATATGTATGTATACACATGCTAAAGGAATATTCGGCCTTATTACACAAGGTGATGTGCTCTAACATTCTGTTTTCTTTTCATCTTATGTTGTAAAAGTTACCAATGACTCCACTTATCTTTTGCCAGTGAGTTACAATCTCTACTTTGAAAAACAATGTTAAATTAGATATAACAAAAGCTTTGAAAGCCCCACTCTTGTGATCAAATTCCTTCATCTCTCTGGTGCTCATTTCCTACTTTGTAGTTAGGAGATAGTGGCTTGTGGATTTTACGGTCACTGAGAAGATTAGGGGTAGTATTTTACACAACAAACAGTTGCTCACTAAATGGTTCTTGTGAGATTATCAAAAAAATGTAACATCCAACCCTTTTTAAAGACTTTGATGTGCACGTGCATGTACAAAACAAGATTTCCTCTGTGACTGCCCTTTAGAGCCGTGCTTGGGCTTGAGTTATTTAAGTTGAGCATGAGGAGGCTTTTCTGTTTGCTTTTTTTTTTTAATCAGAAAGGGTCCACCTTCTTTCTAAAACCTTAATATTCCACAACTTGTCCCAAGAATTGTATTGAAATGAAAGAGAAAGAAAGAAAGAAAGAAAGAAAGAAAGAAAGAAAGAAAGAAAGAAAGAAAGAAAGAAAGAAGGAAAAGAACAGAACAGAACAGAAAATAAAAGAAAAGAAAAGGTGAAAAAATTAAGGAAGGTAGGAGAGAGAGGAAGGAAGAAGTAGAAGGAAGGAGAGAAGGAATGAAGGAATGAATGAAAGAGGGAAAGAAGGGAGGGAGGAGAAAGAGCAGGCTGGTGAATCTTGCCACACACCTGCTGGACAATGGCATAACTCTGGAGCTATGGAGTGTGAGGGGTGAGAGGAGGTGAGAGGAGGTGAGAGGAGGAGTGAGAACCATCCTCCACAGACTCCCATCCCCCCATCCCCCCATGCCCCCCCCCCCCGCACACACACATTACTTCCTCCACCCTGCTCTCTGGGAGCACAATTCTGGCCTGATAAATGGCCTCCTTTACATTTACCCAAGCTGGGGCCTTGGCTCCCAGATAAACTGATGCCCTAATTCAGGCTGCACTGTAAACTCACAGAGCACCAGAGCTATGATTTTTAATACTCTCATTTTTTGTGTGTGGGACAACCAAGTCTCAGAAAGTTGAAGACTGCTCAGTAAGGGAGGAACTGACTGAGCACTTTCAACCTGGATCCAGGGCAAAACCAATCTGCTGCTCTTAACACAGCTGGAATCTCCTGGCCATTCTCCTTGCAGATGATGTTGATGGTTATGTTAGTCAGCTTTCCTATCTCCAGAAAAAAATACTCAACACCCACAATTTCAAAGTGGAGAGGCTCCTTTCGGTTCACATTTCAGAGGATCCAGTCCATGGGTGGCTGACTCCAAGGCAGAAGCAGCACTACAGAGGGGCATGGTGGAGGGAAGCTGCTCAGCCCATGGCAGTCAGAGAAAGAGGAGGAGCCAGGGGATTGATGGATGAGTCCACTGACAAGGATGGACCCCTATGATCCAATCACCTTCTAACACACATGAGACTTTGATAGGACACTTTAGACTTAAACAAAACCATAGTGATAGCAACAATGATGCTACGTAAGAGTAACTGACATCTACAGGTCCACACTGCAGGATTCCTTCCACACACCAACAATAGTCTTGAAAGTAGTGGATGGCGTAGAGAGGTCCGGGAGACCTCTGTGCAGTTAGATGTACTCCAAGCACCAGAACTCAGCACAAATGGGCATTGTCATTTTGCTGAAAGGCAAGGTGCTGTTTTTCTTCTTCCATTGCCCAGAATATCGCTAACCCTCCTCTTCCCAGCTCAGCCTTATCAACCCACAACATTTTGGATGCAAAAAGATATTTTTGTATCAAAAATATCAGTTCACCACATGTTACTAGCAACGATGTTTGGCCATTTCTAGCAAGAATAATCCATTATCGAAGAACAATGATTTGTAATTATTGATGTTATTCAAACATATGTTCTGTCAAATCTGAAATTAATTCCCAAAGTCAAAGCCAAAAGGAGAATGGTATTAACATATTCACCATTCATTACCCTTAAGTACCTCCAATTTTTGAAGTACTGGTGGGATATTCAAAGTTCATTTCCAGCTCCTCTTTACAAAAGATGGTTGCTTTGAAGGAGTCACAATTAATTTGAATGAGGTACCTCGTGTATATGAATTAATAATTAGTAGCTCTTTCTCAGTACACTGGCATTCTTCAGGCAGAAAATCGCCACAGGCCCGGCTTCCCGGAGAAAAAAGGAATGTTCACATTCTGGAACAGAAGCAAGGGTGTGTTTCATGCTCCTAATTTGGCTTAGAAATCTTGTATTCTTCATGTAAGCATTCCATTAAAACTCCCTTGTCCGGGGCTGGGGGTTTAGCTCAGCGGCAAAGCGCCTGCCTGGCAAGTGCAAGGTCGTGAGTTCGGTTCCTGGTACCGGAGAAAAACCAAAACCAAAAAAAAAAAAAAACTCCCTTGTCCTATTTAAGTAACATATTTAAGTCAGTACCTTCAAGACACGTGAATGAATCTTTGAACCTGGAGTGAATAACTGGACTCATCTCTGTGTCTCCTTACTTCACAGACATCAGCAAAATGACCTTTGAAGAACTCTGCTTTAAGAATCCAAAGTTGGCCATAGAAAAGATCAGTGATGACTACAAAGTATATTGCGAGAAAGCACCTAACATAGGCAAGTGTTTAAACTTAGGGATAGATTTGAGTGAGGCAAAACCTGAGAATTTTCTGATGAAAGGGACATTAACCAAAAAAGAACCAAATTTTGTTTGCAGTAGAGATATGGTCAAGAGGTAACAACTATGTTTTTTTTTTTCTCCTAAAAAGCCATAGACAAGTATCACAAGAATAAGATGTAATTAGAAATCATCATGATGGTGATTAAGATGGTTCATTCCTACTTTGTTATATAGTAGGGATTTTGAACAATACAGAATCATCTTCTGCTGAGTTTTCTGGAGTCAGAAATTTGTAGAAGGTTGTTTGTTAGGGGATGCTCTTGGGATAACATGTGGGAAGGTGTGAAGAAGGTAGCACTGGGCAGAGGTAGGTGCTCAGCTATGAGCAGTCACACCAGGCCTTGGTGGATACTATAGCAGCCTCTAAATCTAAGATGGCCCTGCAGAATTGTCCCTCACTGAATCACATGACCTGGCCTTTTGTACTTCCACGTTGACCCAAATGTGATGTGGAAACCCCTGAGGAGGATCCTTTGGCCAGGGCAATTGCCAGGGGACCCTCAGCTGTGGGCAGTCAGCAGCCAACATCCAGGCAGCTAGAGGAATGAGTGCTTTGGTCCTAAAAGGAGGCTCTATGTAGCACCAAGTAGCAGCACAACTGTCCATTTGCTTTGTAAAGCACTTCCTTTCTTTGAGTATCTTCTCCAGGAATCAAGGTAGTCTATTTTCCTGGGCAACTTATTCTGGAAAGGCTTCTTCTACTGCTACAACTTGTGCAGGACCGAAACTGAGACCTCGGGAGATCTTTTGTCACTCCTTTGCTCCCCATCCCAGAGTCTGCTCTTTCTTAGCTGATATCACTGCTGGTCCTGGCAGGACTTACAAGGCAAGATGACCTGGACTCCCATCTCTGATGTCTCTGAGCTCCTAGTCATCAGGACTCAGGCTGCGACTGCTTCCTTGTCAATTTGTCATCAGGATTGAGCTAGGGAGAACCAAGAGTGACTAGCAAATTCTCCCCTTCCACTAACACCTTCAATTCAGTCCAACACCACTGGGTTCATTCGAGTTTTCTCGCTTTCTGTTTCTAGCTCTCTTCTTTGGCAATGAAAAACCTGACTTCTGCTCTCGTACATTTTTCTACATATTTGCTTAACCCTCTCCCTGTAACTCATCTTCTGTCTCCACCACATTACCTCACAGATGCCTTTCTCCCCTTACCGGGGCTCCAGTGCCTTATACCAGCACCTCCAGCCAATCTCCTCACTTTGCTTGAATTGCACTTCATCCATCCAGGCTGCTGTCTTGTATGGAAACCTTCCTCACTGTGGTCCCTCTGATAACCTGTGTCAGGCCACCTCTACATGTGGTGACTCTCTTCACGTCACGTAGGCTCTGACTCCCTGTAACTGGCCATCCTTTCATGGGGACACCTTCCTTACCCTGCTCAGGTGCTAACTCCCCACACCAAGCATTATTCATTTCCTGTATGGGTTTTCTTTCCATCTTGCTTGAACCCTATTATCCCACAGCAGGCAACCCCTTAACAGTGGTATCTTTGACCTACTTGTGTTCTAATACCCCATGTTCTATACCTCATGAGATTGTCCTTCCCATTTGCCCAGGCTCCAAAACTCCATGTTGGCTTCCTCCCTGTTCTCCAGCCTGAATCTCCTTCTCCCCCTACTTGGACTACTCACACTGCACCAGCCTTTGTCATGATGTCTTCTTTGTCCTGCTGCAGTTCTGAATTCTGTGAACTAGGTTACCTTTCATGTGAATACCCTCCTCACCCTGGCTAGGCTTCAGAATGCAGTCAAGGAAATCCTGTGGGAAATTTCTTCTTACCCTACCTGGGGTCCTGACATCCCACTGTGTCCGTATAGCCCATTTCTTCTTTTAGTGCTATCACTTACCTTGTTCTCCCCTAACTCATGATTTTAGAACTTAATTGTTTTTTTTATATGAACCCATCATATAAGGTTTTTTTTAAGAGTGGCAATGGGAGATCTGATCTGCAGAATCGTTCATGGCTGCGTACTAACATGGTGAACTCAGTGTAGGCAAGGGAAAAACTTTCACGTCTTCACTGAGTGTTTCTGCAAGTCCCACTCCCACACATATAATTTATATAATTTTAGCTCTGTTCATAGCAGAACATCCTCTTAGTATGATCTTCTGACCTGACTCAATTAGCACCTCCCACCCCAGTATCTCAAACCATCCTCCCTGATAGAAGGAAATAAAGAGTTAAGACCTCATAATTGTTTCCCCAATGCAGTACTCTAAAAAATTTACTTCAAATCACCCAGCCTCAGTTCTCCTTTCACTTCTTAACCCCTTTTCCTAATAATTATGAGAGCAAGAAAAGGAAGAGTATGCTTAATCAACTGTTCTATTAAACAAATACAACTTTTGTTCTACCTCTTAATTACTAATCCTTTCTTCCTTTCCAAAGATAATGGTAATGTAGTTCTAGCTGGGTTTTCTTAATTTGCTCAATATTCTTGAAACATATAATTTGAATCGAGCATCATGCATTTTTTAGTGCATGGCTTGTGTAACTCACCATTACGTGTGTGAGTTCAGCTCACTTGTTGAATGCAGCAACTGTCGACTTATTTTCAGTAAGGCAGAACAGTTGCACAACAATCACCTCAATTTTCTTATTGCCCCCCTTTAAGGGGCCTCTTTGGGCAGGAAATTTTAATACAAAAAATACTGTTTATCTGTATATATAGCTGCAATATATAAAAAGAACAAGATTGGTTATAACACCTAAGAAAAAATTATCAACCTCTTTGACAATAACATCCTATTTGAGGTTGCATGCTACGCTATAGAGTACCCAAAGTATAAATATACTGTATTTTTAATCTGTTCAAAATTGATGGGCATTTGGGTCATCTAGTTTTTGGATACTCTGCACGGTCACGCAGTGCATAACATCAACAATAGACCACATAAACTATGGTTGGTATCATATAGTGTGTAGTAGGCTCTACCATCTAAGTTTGTGTAAATATACTCTATGATATTTCCACAATACCTGGGGCACCTAATAATGTATTTCTCAGAAGGTATTGCCACATGACTATATACCTATCCTATGAACATTTTTCTACATGCTATTTGATGTTCATATGAGCACATTTCTCTCAAATGTATATCAAGTTTATATTTCATAAAATACACATATATTAAATATTAATAAACAGTTCCCAATAAATTTGAAGTGTTTGCACAAATTTATATTCCCATCAGCAGAATATGGGACATCTAGTTACTCTATAAATCCATAAATATTTGATGTGCCAGATTTTTATGTTTAGCTTTCCTTCCCCCCTACTTTGTGGCATCATTTCTGTCACCAAACAGGTGTCCCTATCTGTGTGGGTTTGTTTCTGGACCCTTTAGTTGGCCTATTTGTATTTTCTTGCACAGATGTAACACTATTAGTTATGATAAATTTATAACAAGTGTTGAGAATTGGTTAATTAGCTTCTCTTCTTTGATTTGCATTTTTAAGAATAGCTTTCCTTAACCTTTTGTATTTCTGTATAAATATTAGAATCAGCTTGTAAATTCCTATCAAAACTATCCCTATAGAAGTTTGACACAGAGCTGATATCTTAATATTTTGGTACATTTTTTTCTTTTATTGAAGCAAAATTCATATAGGGTAAAATTAATAATTAAACAAATTAAAGTATACTATTCACTAGCATCAATGTATTCACAGTGTTGTACATCTCACACCTCTGTCACAGTCTAAACATTTCCTCATCTAAAAGGAAACCCCGTGCCCATTAAGCAACCACTCCCCACTCTCCCATCTTGAAAACCCCTGGCAGCCACAAATCTGTTTCTGTTATTATCAATTTACCTAGTTCTGAATATGTCATATAGCTAGAATCCTGCAATATGTGATCTTTTGTGTCTGATTTCTTTCACATAGTATGATGCTTTTGAAGTTTATGCATATTTTAACATATATCAGTTCATCTCTTTTATGACTGAATAACATTCCACTGTGAGGATATACCACATTTTGTTTATTGACTCATCAGTGGATCAAAATTTGGATTTTTGCATGTTTTGGCAATTATAAGTGGTGCTTCTATGAACACTCATGTACAAATTCTTGTCTGAATACTTGTTTCAATTCTCTTGGTTGTAAATCTAAGATTACAGTTGCTAGGTCATGAGCTAATTCTGTGTTTAAATATTTCAGGGCCATCATATCAGTTTCCGTGCATTTCACCGTTTTGCATTTCTACTAGCAATGTGCAGGGGTTCTAATTTCTGTTTATTCCCCAACTGGCTATTTTTTACCTTAAAAAAGTATAGCCATCTTAATGAGTATGAAGTAATATCTCAATGTAGTTTGATTTGCATTTCCCTAATGATTAATGATATTGAGTAACTTTCATGTGCTTATAGGTCATTTCAAATCTTAGGAACATTTCTATTCAAGTCCTTTGTTCATTTTTAAGCTGGTTTGTTTCCTCTTCCCATTCTTGAATTGTATCTATAATCTTGGACAGAACTTTCTAACATAGTATTGAATATAAATGGTAAAATAAAGTGTCTTGGTTACTTTTCTCTCCTTGCTGAGACAAAATACCCAATGCCCAAAATTAAGGAAGGAAAGGTTCATTTAGCTCACAGTCCCTGGAGGTTTTAGTCCATAATCAGCTGGCTCCAGGGCAGGGTGGCACGCCACAGGGACACCAACTTCAAGGCAGCACAAGACAGCAAAAGCAGCAAGAGCCAAAAGGAGAAAGCATGACTCTTCTCCTCCCTTACATTGTATGCCGGCACATACAAATTTTCTGCCCACACCATCTCAGTGCCTTCCTCTTGCACAGGCTCAGGATGAATACAAAGTAAGGACCCTGGCTCCCTGCAGAGTCACAGAGTTAACCTAAACTTCTCAAGCTGACACAATGAACAACATCCTAGAACAGGAAGGGCATGTCCTTTCCGCCTCAAGATGTAGAACAGCTGAGTTATTTAGGTAAGCTTCTAGACTCCTCAAGTTGACACAGTGTGTTCACCATAACAGAAGGCATCCTTGTCTTATTCCTTTTTAAATTTTTATTAGTATATAGTCCCAGTACATAATTCACTGTGGGGTATTAATATATGTATACAATACATCTCAATTCTTTTTTTCCCTTCCCCTCCACCCTTTCTTTTTAAAAATAATTTGCCAGCATCAGGCTCATTTATTTATCTTATAAGTCCTTATCAAGCTAATTATCATAAATACAGATTTTCAGTCAGACTAACAGAACAAAAAACATAAGAACACATAAGACAAGTATATTCCTTGTCTTGTTCTTTATGATAGCTAAAATTCTTTCAGTCTTTCACCACTGAGTATAATGTTGGCTATGGTTTTGGCCTTATTTTTTGTGGGGGGGGATTTTGGCCTTAATCATGTCAAGAGTTTCTTCAGTTTCTAGCTTGTTAGATCATTTTTGCATGAAAAGGTGTTGGATTTTGTGAAGTGCTTTTGCTGTATCAATTGAGGTTATTGGTTTTTTGTCATTATTTTAACATGGTATATTAGGTTGATTTATTTTCATATGTTGAAACACCCTTGCATTCCTGTGCTAAATCCCACTTGATTATTGTTTGCAAACACTTCACACAGGCCAAGATAAAGGCAGTCCTTCCAGGAAGTAGCAGACAACTTGAGATCAAAGTAAACATGACAGTTCTTTGAAAATAAGATCTGCACTGCTCCTTCCAGTGTTAGCATCCTGCATGTAGAGTGTAGTCTGCTGTCATCAAGGCCATCACTGGGGTGGGCTGGGGAACAGAGTGTGAACAGTTTCAAATACTATTGGTATTGTAGAGTTTTGTAACTATTTTGCTGACATCCTTAGTTGCTTCTGAAAAGTCTACGAAAAGTTTTGTTAAATTTCTCTGTAGAAATGTACATAATTGCTCAGTACCTTAAGAGTGGAAGCCATGCTGAAAGTTTTGGCCTTTTTAAAAACTCTGTGGCTTTGTTTGGTATTTCTGTTTGTTTTTGTTGTTGTTGTTGTTTTGTTTTTGTTTTTCTCCGGTACCAGGAACCGAACTCACAACCTTGCGCTTGCCAGGCAGGCGCTTTGCCACTGAGCTAAATCCCCAGCCCCTTATTTGGTATTTCACTCTGGCTTCCACACTACAAATCCCTGTAGAGCAGCTATGGTCTCACTTCCTTTTCTGGTTGTTAGCATTCTCTTTTGCACTAATCTCTGTTTTAATTTTGTTTTGCTTTAATTTCTTATAAGTTTATTGATGACTTTAAATATTATTTTTTACAGCATTTCTATGTCTTAGGGGGTGTTTGTTTCATTTTGGAGAGATCTTGTGGTTTTTGTTGTTCTCTTAATATTTATTCTTCCATATTATGAATTTCATTTTTCTACTATTCAAATTGCATTTATTTTTTCCAGTATGTTTTCATATTGCTTTCAATCTTTTTTATATGCTATCATGGAAAGAAAGTATTACTACACCAAATTTCCTACATGTGCATATTATATTTAATAAACACGTCAAAGCATTGACTGCATAACAAAGTCACATCATCACTTTGGGTTGTGAGAACCTTCCCCTTGATAAATTCGTAATCCATGTTTTCTTCTACAAAATAAACTACAAAGAATTCTTATAAAACTGAAGGCCAGTGGAACCTATTATAATTTTAAAATGATGTTTTAATATATTTCTTGTAATAATTGTTTCTAAATGACACTGGAGAACCAGACACCCACTCTGCATTCTGTATAGTATACCGGAATAGCCTTGCAGTGGAAGCAGTGTCCTTGGGAAGAAAAAGATCTTAGTTAAAGCAAGAAGGTGGTAGGAATGCTGAAAGATGAAGTCCTGTAAGTTTGCTGTTTACAAAATGAGTTTCAGAGGGCAAGTGGAAGAGGTTTAGATGGCACATCTGGGGTTTTAGGGAAGATAGAATGTTATGTGGCATGTAGTTCAGTAAAACCGGCTGGTTATGGAAGGGATGACATTTGGTGTTCACAAATGTAATGAGGAAAGTACAGTGGACCTGTCTCTCTGGGGAAGGTGGGCTCCAGGCTGATGCCCAACATATTTAGCAAATGTAGCTAGACTGAGCTCAGTGTCAGGGATGTAAATCATCCTAGGTTTGTGCTCGGCACAAATGGCCTGAGATGGCAACAGTGGTGAGGACAATGGTGTTTCCACATGCATTTAATGTCTGATAAATGTCCTTGCTCTGTTTCCCCTTCGGATCCTTTGCAATGTTTCCTTATAAAATGGAGTTATCAATGTTATGATTTTTTTTCTTAGATATTGCAGTAGAAATGATGAAGGAACAGAAGAAAATTGGATCCTCCGCCAGAAAAATATCTTTCTTGAAAAAACTAGGTCTACGGAAGCCCTCAGGGAGACCTAGGTAAGGTGTAGGACCTGGCTACAGCAACATTTCCAAGCATAACCATTCCTTCTATGTGTAGGTATCTTGACCTCTTTCCATGTAGTGTATATATATGAACAAAAGTACTTTGAATTCTAAATTATTGTTTGTTTTCTGAAATTGCTACCATGCAGTATATTTTTTTATTTTGAGAAGGACAAAGTAAAACAATTTCAAAACAAGATAACAGTAACAATAGTTAATACAATGTGTATTGTTATCTTCAGAGTTGTTACCCAGAGTATAAGATATAAGTATGAGATATTGTAGAATGTCAGCACAAACCTTTCTTTTCAGTGAACTAAGAGAAACTAGCAGTATTGTTATCTTAACTATTTTGTTTATCTATATTTTTTTCCTTT